TCACGGGGCTGCAGAATTGAGTGTGTTCCGGGCGGCAAAATTTCTAAATTTGGCCAACTGAGCGTAGACACGTAGAACTTTACGTAAACCGTACAAATAAAAAAATAATCGTGACAATCGCGATACTATTTTTACATATACTTATGTGTGCATTAGTCAATAAGAGTGATTCACTGACTNCACTGCATAAGAGTGATTCACTGACTGTGCCTCACGATTTTTCTTTAAAAATATTAGTTTTATCTCATACGTGTAATTAGTTTATTTGTTAAAACTCATTGTTGAACTACTCGACACGAAAAATAAAGATTCCAATTTCATCCGCTAACCCTTAAATCAATATGGACTTTAGTTTTTAAAATTGCGACCTAGTTTTTTTTAAATAATCTTGTTTAGTATAAAAAAAATCAATTTTATTAAATTCTAAACGAGGTATAATCACTGTTTAAAGTTTGGGGGATTTGACAAATAAAACAGTAGTCGGGTAAATACAGTAACATTACTATTTAGCGTACCGATAAGAAATACCGGTATGTTGAATCGCAATGTAAATTTTTATTAAATATACGTTTTTCTACAAAATATATAAACATATTAAATATGTATAACGTTTACTAGACAAAATATTAATAAGTATTTTACAGTAGTACTTTTTTCTTACAGTTTTAGACAAATGTTAAAAATAAAGGACATTTTTAAAAACACGTGTACTCGTACTAGGTAAATAATATAGCTCATATACGAAGTAAATTAAATAATTTTAACGATAACGCGTTTAAAATAATAANAATAAATAAATAATAATAATAAATAATAAATAATAACAATAATGTGTTTAAAATAATAACGAATAATTAACGTATAAGATTTAATTATTCGCCTAGCAACTAGATTGTATAATAATAATTGTTGTTGTTTATATTATTTGTTTATAATTAAACTAAAAAAAAACTCAATATTATCATCAATATTGTTTAACTATCATTAAAATAACCGTCATTGTTGTAGGGGAAGACAGAATACATTTAAAAAGTGGTATTAAATTGAATATCTAACCAGATGACACATTTCGGCATAAGCTTAAATTACTATTTTGAGCTAAACGCTNTATGAGATGAAATATCTCGGCATACGCCTAAATTACTATTTTGAGCTAAACACTAAGTTATAACGTATAATGTAAAGAAATATAATATAACGGAGCCCCCAAATTATATTTTTAGAATAATTCTTAAATTTTGTTTACTACTTATTCTTACAAAATACAGTTGTAAAAAAAAAATTTTAATAAAAGTATACATAAAAAATACGCGTGAAAAATTATTTTTATTACAAAAAATGTATAATTTTATTTGTAGAATAATAAATCGCGACTAACAAAATACTCGGATATGAAAAAAAAAAACGTTCTTTAAACATTGCCAAAATATGTTAAACACTAATAATTATCTATTATAAGCGGGAAAAATTTTTTACTAATTTTATTCGTAAAATAATTTTTATAGAAAGCAAACCAAAGTTTGCAGTTATGACTAATAAAATGATACAATATAATAGTTCAATAATTAGTAAACGAAATCCTACAACAAATTAACACGTAGTAAATGAATTCAAAAGAATATATTCTTTTCCGACAGTTACAATTGAACGTTTGAACAAGCGTAAACGATAATTAATGAAATAGTTGGGGAATTAATTATTTAATTCGACGATAATAACTAAACAGAATAAAAATTTTATTTTAATAAATATTAACAAGAAACCGATTGAAAAATAACATTGCTCGATCCGTTGCAGTACAGCTGTTATCATCTAACCCAGAGTTTCTCAAAGTGTGGACCGCGGACCCCCAGGGGTCCGCGAGCACATATCAGGGTTAGGTCTTTAAAACTGTAGGTCTTCAGATCCCCCCATCTGAATCCCAATCACGGGGGGTCCGTGATTCATTTGACTTTGAGAACCTCTGATCTAACCTAACGTTACAGCGAGATAATATATTTTTAATAAATAACAATCGTTCATTAGCAAAAATGCACGTTTTGTATTTAACTCGTAAATAATAAACAAGAGTTTATTATAAAATAAATAATGAAACATGGCGCAGTCGGGCTAATGAATTCTACGCGTATTACCCGGTGAATGAATAATAATTACAAATCAGCGTTTTCAATTAGTTTTTTTTTTTTTAATTAAGTATCATGGAATTCAATAAGCCGTCGCCGCTTAAAATGACAGGTAACCCGCCTGAAAACTTTTAATTTTTTAAACAGCAAGTTGAAATATATATATATGACTGCCACGGAAACCGATGGCAAGCCAAAGGAAGTACGAGTAACTCGCCTTTTGAACTCGATTGGTTCAGATGCATTAAAAGTGTATAACACTTTAGCGACTGATAAAAATATGAATACTGATGTACCTGGAATATTAAAAAAGATTAGAAAAATATTGTTCTCCTGGAACAAATGAAACGATGGCTCACTATAAATGTTTTACTGCCAAACAAAATGATGACCGATTTGATGTGTATTTAACGCGTCTAAAGGAATCGATTAAACCGTGTAACTTGGGAGTAAAGGAAAACGAGTTACTCAAAACTAA